CATAACAGCATTCAGCATTTCTGTATTTAAAATTTCTTTTAACTTTGCATTATGAAACATTTAATTCAAAAGAAAAACTAATTCTGGGTTTGTTTCGACTTATGAGCTTCATTTTATAAGTTAAAATGGTGAGATATACTAATTTTTCGATTATATTTAGATTATGTTAGCTCAACCTGCTCTCAATTATAATTTCTGGCGATTTAACTGCTATAATAGCTGTAAATTATGGATGTACAGTATAATTATCAAGACCTAACGATAGGATGAACTTGACCTGAGAGCTTGTGTCTCTACAAGCAAAGAATTAATTTGGGAGAATCTGAGGAAGGTGCGCGCCCCCGACTCCTGTGTTTAAGCCCCATCGCGGGAAAAAGCATGCGCGCCCCCGGATCAGCACTTTCCCAGTTCCGTCTCCTCCATTTACTGGCGAGGACTCACAATCAATAATTCAATAGTTTTGGCGTCTAAATCCTGCCCCAAACACCGATGAACACACAAACACGCCAGACTCCCGTGCCGTGCAGACTCGGTGAGGTCGGTATTAATTAATAGCTGAGGACATTGTGTTTTGCGTGGAAAAATATCGGAAGAGTAATGCGATCTGGATTCCTATAATTATAGGCTTCCCGTGTCAGGTGTTTATTAAATGTTCAATAAGAAGCGGTTAAAGATGTCAGGGAATGAATCAGGCAAATTTGTGAGTCAAGTAAGGCAAGCGTTAATTAATCTTCTTTTTTTTTTCTTTTTTTTCGCAGCCTTTGGCTTTGTTTTCTAAGCTGAGGGCTGTCTGTATGTTTTTATTCACAATGTCAATCTTCAGGTCATAAAACAACAACAACAACAAAAACACAATGCAGGAAATATTTGCATTCAACAGAGATGGGCAGGCTGCCAAATTCAAGGGATATGTCTGTATAATTTTCCTCTTACTGCTTTACTTTATTTCATCTTTTGTTGGTCTTTTAATCACTTGCAACATGTTGTGGGAAAATAATGTAAAATGGATCAAGGCCGAGTCTAATTGTGCGTTTATATCGTTGCGAGCCGAAGTGAGTGGAATAATTAAAATTTAACATCTAGACTTGTTTTAACTAATTATCAGGCCTCCAGTCCGGAGGGATTCAAATTCCAGTAATAATAAGGTTTTACATTAAAATGCCTCAATGATATCCACATAGAATACACTGTATGTATTTATTAAAACGCTTCAAAACTTCATCTTTGAGATACTGAACGGCTTTGTGTCTTTTATCTGCCTGTTAACTTGTTCTGGAAATGATCAGTTCTCTTCTGAAACTCCTCTATAAGCAAACTATGAATAATGCATCGCTTTGGCAAGGGCGCTGCAATACACACACACACACACACACACACCGAGACATAACACACACACACACACATACTAATGTTCCCGAGTAAACGGACCTGTCACAACTCTGATGTTATCAAAAGACTTCCACCTATAAATTATTATTTTTTAAATCTATTGCTCTCAAAACCTTGTCTGATTGCAACAATAACAATAACGACTATGCTGCGGGTATATTAATCGAATTAATTAGAAAAATCAAGTCATTAAAGAAACTTTGTTAATTTATTATAAGAACAAAAAAAAAGTCAACTTTTTGTTAAGGTGGTTTCACGTTTCACATGTGATGGAAAAAAACAAATAAAAATAATTTTATGGTCATTCTTTCTCCCAACCCCTTTAAAAACCCCGTGCGTTTGGTGAGTTCATGTTCACTGTTATAAAAAACATCCAAAATTACATACAGAAAGCACATGATTTTTAATGCACGGGAAAATAATACAAAATGAACAAATCCCCAACGAGGCATTCATAAAGCCACTAAATCATAAAAAATAATGCATGTTTTTTTTTCTTCTTCTTCTTCTTCTTGAGTATAAACATATTTTACATGTGCCCGTACCGGTTCGCATACTGTGTTAGAGATGGTATTTGTTTATGAGATTTGCCTTCCTTTAGAAAATAAAAATAAAAAAAGAGAGGGGGAAGTGTGTATGGGAGGTAGGGGGGGGCGGGGGGTCGCAAATCACCTTGTAGGCTAAATATATGGAGACTGGCTCATATGATGATTTAAAAAAAAAACCGCTCATCTTGTTTTATAATCTCACATTTCTGGCGTGGAGTCCGTTTCACCTTCAGCCATGATAGGTCTAATCAAGGTCGGGAAGGCCAAACTTTCAACTGAGAGGGGAGGACAGAGGATAAGAGCTGACAGGAGTGGGGGTGGGGGGAGTGGGGTATGTATGGCTCATGAACTCATGCAAACACCGCAGAGGCATTTTCAAAACTGGACAAGAAACAGTGGAGGGAGAGATATTGTCCCTATTTTGACAAAGAATGTCCGCTACTTTAGCAGAGGGGTTTTGTTTTTTTAGTTGTTCCTTTTTCTTTCTTTTCTTTTTTTCCTTTTCTTTTGAAATATTATGAGGCCAGCCTCTATGTAGAATCGAAAAGAAATCATAACAAGAAGAATACAATATTTAAACAGGAAAAATTGCAGAATGGTTCGCCTTGTTTGACAAAGAATCGACCGACCCAGCTGCATCCTCCTCCTCCTCCTCCTCTTCCTCGTCGGGGTGTCTGTCCCCGCGTCGCCGTCCACCCCGTCCGCCTCTTTAGGCTTCTGTGTAGGCTATCACGTCACAGTCTTCCTCATTGTATTTCATAAATAGCCTATATTTTATAATTATACTCGTCCTCCTTCATTGAGAAAACATAAATTACGTCCGTCGACACTTTTTCGCGCCCTCCCACACTTCACTTTGTAAGCAGTTTTGGTTCAGTGTCTCCTCAGTCGCCTCGTGTCCTCGCTGTCACAGTCCCAACGCCGCCGTGTGTTTTTTGGCCTTCAGTCTCAGGTCGGCGATGCTGGAGTTCTTGCTCGTGTTCTTGGCCGCAGCCGCGGCGGCCACCACTGAGGCGGCGGAGGCTGACTCCGCCGCGAGCGTCGCCAGGGGCAACCCGAAAGGCGGCGCGGGGAACATCATGTAGGGCGCGTGCGCCGCCAGGTGAGAGTGCAGGTGGTGCTGCGCGTGAGCCACGGCGCTGTCCAGCTGCAGCTGCGCCTGCACCTGAAAGGAGAAGGGCGGCACGTTGCAATGACTATCCTATGGGACGGGACGCACGGATGGGGAGGGAGAGAAGGGGGAGAACATGCGTTAACTTTGCAGTGGGATGGATGCAGGATCATTTTCACCAGAAGACTGTATTTGTGACTGCATTATTAAATCAGTGGAAGTTGCCACACAAATGATCATATATTTACTTATCTATTTCATTTTTCCATATGAAGATTTTCAGATGTTTCCTTTAATGTATTGTGAAATTAATGTTGGTGTGTCTTATGGACTGTTGATGGAAATTAACTCTGAGAAGCTGGTATTAAGTATGCATGGACCCTGCTTAATAAACTACAAAAAAACTAACAATTGGAAACAATTAACAGACAAGCATGAACGCCATTCTATTCCAGTGGCAACACACTCACACCTCATTGTGCTTAATGATGTGCTAATTAAGTGATCAGCTGAGACTAAAAGTAATGTGAAGGACTGGTGGCTTGCATTGAGAGGCATAAAAGCCCTAAATGAAAATCAGGTTTGCTCCACGCAGTATTAGTTTCCGAACTCTTCAGGGAAAACATGGGTACAGTTGTTTAAAAAGTAAGATGGTCGTGTTTGCTTTNTGTTGTGTGTTTTATTCAACATTTCTGAATTTCCATTTTCCATAAGAACAATTGTACTGTTGCGAGTTGCAAGGTACTAATGCTGTTTTGTATATCAGTTTGTCATTAATTTTACATTCAGGTTAAAATACATGAGCCTCTGAATAATTTTGAATACAATCAAAATGACCTTTTAGGAATTCATAGTAAGAAGTGAAAATCATGTGGGGATTAATTACACTCTCAGTGATATATTTCAAGCACTTATTTCTGCTAACGTGAAATAATATGGCTTACAACGAAGAGAAGCCCAGATTTAGCATCACATAAAATGTGTATATTGCATGATACACCGAAAAAGAATGTTTTGTTTGCTGTGGTTTTGAAGTTTTACCCTCAACATGTTTCACATGGTGCAGTTCTCGCTTTTGCCTTCCACTCAACTTTCCATTGATCTGCCTGGATACCTCTGAATGTTTGGCTTGTTTATCTATACTTTTTCGTGGCCTACTCTTCCTTTTGATTTCAATGAGTACTTGTAATTTACATGATCATAACAGCATTCAGCATTTCTGTATTTAAAATTTCTTTTAACTTTGCATTATGAAACATTTAATTCAAAAGAAAAACTAATTCTGGGTTTGTTTCGACTTATGAGCTTCATTTTATAAGTTAAAATGGTGAGATATACTAATTTTTCGATTATATTTAGATTATGTTAGCTCAACCTGCTCTCAATTATAATTTCTGGCGATTTAACTGCTATAATAGCTGTAAATTATGGATGTACAGTATAATTATCAAGACCTAACGATAGGATGAACTTGACCTGAGAGCTTGTGTCTCTACAAGCAAAGAATTAATTTGGGAGAATCTGAGGAAGGTGCGCGCCCCCGACTCCTGTGTTTAAGCCCCATCGCGGGAAAAAGCATGCGCGCCCCCGGATCAGCACTTTCCCAGTTCCGTCTCCTCCATTTACTGGCGAGGACTCACAATCAATAATTCAATAGTTTTGGCGTCTAAATCCTGCCCCAAACACCGATGAACACACAAACACGCCAGACTCCCGTGCCGTGCAGACTCGGTGAGGTCGGTATTAATTAATAGCTGAGGACATTGTGTTTTGCGTGGAAAAATATCGGAAGAGTAATGCGATCTGGATTCCTATAATTATAGGCTTCCCGTGTCAGGTGTTTATTAAATGTTCAATAAGAAGCGGTTAAAGATGTCAGGGAATGAATCAGGCAAATTTGTGAGTCAAGTAAGGCAAGCGTTAATTAATCTTCTTTTTTTTTTCTTTTTTTTCGCAGCCTTTGGCTTTGTTTTCTAAGCTGAGGGCTGTCTGTATGTTTTTATTCACAATGTCAATCTTCAGGTCATAAAACAACAACAACAACAAAAACACAATGCAGGAAATATTTGCATTCAACAGAGATGGGCAGGCTGCCAAATTCAAGGGATATGTCTGTATAATTTTCCTCTTACTGCTTTACTTTATTTCATCTTTTGTTGGTCTTTTAATCACTTGCAACATGTTGTGGGAAAATAATGTAAAATGGATCAAGGCCGAGTCTAATTGTGCGTTTATATCGTTGCGAGCCGAAGTGAGTGGAATAATTAAAATTTAACATCTAGACTTGTTTTAACTAATTATCAGGCCTCCAGTCCGGAGGGATTCAAATTCCAGTAATAATAAGGTTTTACATTAAAATGCCTCAATGATATCCACATAGAATACACTGTATGTATTTATTAAAACGCTTCAAAACTTCATCTTTGAGATACTGAACGGCTTTGTGTCTTTTATCTGCCTGTTAACTTGTTCTGGAAATGATCAGTTCTCTTCTGAAACTCCTCTATAAGCAAACTATGAATAATGCATCGCTTTGGCAAGGGCGCTGCAATACACACACACACACACACACACACCGAGACATAACACACACACACACACATACTAATGTTCCCGAGTAAACGGACCTGTCACAACTCTGATGTTATCAAAAGACTTCCACCTATAAATTATTATTTTTTAAATCTATTGCTCTCAAAACCTTGTCTGATTGCAACAATAACAATAACGACTATGCTGCGGGTATATTAATCGAATTAATTAGAAAAATCAAGTCATTAAAGAAACTTTGTTAATTTATTATAAGAACAAAAAAAAAGTCAACTTTTTGTTAAGGTGGTTTCACGTTTCACATGTGATGGAAAAAAACAAATAAAAATAATTTTATGGTCATTCTTTCTCCCAACCCCTTTAAAAACCCCGTGCGTTTGGTGAGTTCATGTTCACTGTTATAAAAAACATCCAAAATTACATACAGAAAGCACATGATTTTTAATGCACGGGAAAATAATACAAAATGAACAAATCCCCAACGAGGCATTCATAAAGCCACTAAATCATAAAAAATAATGCATGTTTTTTTTTCTTCTTCTTCTTCTTCTTGAGTATAAACATATTTTACATGTGCCCGTACCGGTTCGCATACTGTGTTAGAGATGGTATTTGTTTATGAGATTTGCCTTCCTTTAGAAAATAAAAATAAAAAAAGAGAGGGGGAAGTGTGTATGGGAGGTAGGGGGGGGCGGGGGGTCGCAAATCACCTTGTAGGCTAAATATATGGAGACTGGCTCATATGATGATTTAAAAAAAAAACCGCTCATCTTGTTTTATAATCTCACATTTCTGGCGTGGAGTCCGTTTCACCTTCAGCCATGATAGGTCTAATCAAGGTCGGGAAGGCCAAACTTTCAACTGAGAGGGGAGGACAGAGGATAAGAGCTGACAGGAGTGGGGGTGGGGGGAGTGGGGTAGGTATGGCTCATGAACTCATGCAAACACCGCAGAGGCATTTTCAAAACTGGACAAGAAACAGTGGAGGGAGAGATATTGTCCCTATTTTGACAAAGAATGTCCGCTACTTTAGCAGAGGGGTTTTGTTTTTTTAGTTGTTCCTTTTTCTTTCTTTTCTTTTTTTCCTTTTCTTTTGAAATATTATGAGGCCAGCCTCTATGTAGAATCGAAAAGAAATCATAACAAGAAGAATACAATATTTAAACAGGAAAAATTGCAGAATGGTTCGCCTTGTTTGACAAAGAATCGACCGACCCAGCTGCATCCTCCTCCTCCTCCTCCTCTTCCTCGTCGGGGTGTCTGTCCCCGCGTCGCCGTCCACCCCGTCCGCCTCTTTAGGCTTCTGTGTAGGCTATCACGTCACAGTCTTCCTCATTGTATTTCATAAATAGCCTATATTTTATAATTATACTCGTCCTCCTTCATTGAGAAAACATAAATTACGTCCGTCGACACTTTTTCGCGCCCTCCCACACTTCACTTTGTAAGCAGTTTTGGTTCAGTGTCTCCTCAGTCGCCTCGTGTCCTCGCTGTCACAGTCCCAACGCCGCCGTGTGTTTTTTGGCCTTCAGTCTCAGGTCGGCGATGCTGGAGTTCTTGCTCGTGTTCTTGGCCGCAGCCGCGGCGGCCACCACTGAGGCGGCGGAGGCTGACTCCGCCGCGAGCGTCGCCAGGGGCAACCCGAAAGGCGGCGCGGGGAACATCATGTAGGGCGCGTGCGCCGCCAGGTGAGAGTGCAGGTGGTGCTGCGCGTGAGCCACGGCGCTGTCCAGCTGCAGCTGCGCCTGCACCTGAAAGGAGAAGGGCGGCACGTTGCAATGACTATCCTATGGGACGGGACGCACGGATGGGGAGGGAGAGAAGGGGGAGAACATGCGTTAACTTTGCAGTGGGATGGATGCAGGATCATTTTCACCAGAAGACTGTATTTGTGACTGCATTATTAAATCAGTGGAAGTTGCCACACAAATGATCATATATTTACTTATCTATTTCATTTTTCCATATGAAGATTTTCAGATGTTTCCTTTAATGTATTGTGAAATTAATGTTGGTGTGTCTTATGGACTGTTGATGGAAATTAACTCTGAGAAGCTGGTATTAAGTATGCATGGACCCTGCTTAATAAACTACAAAAAAACTAACAATTGGAAACAATTAACAGACAAGCATGAACGCCATTCTATTCCAGTGGCAACACACTCACACCTCATTGTGCTTAATGATGTGCTAATTAAGTGATCAGCTGAGACTAAAAGTAATGTGAAGGACTGGTGGCTTGCATTGAGAGGCATAAAAGCCCTAAATGAAAATCAGGTTTGCTCCACGCAGTATTAGTTTCCGAACTCTTCAGGGAAAACATGGGTACAGTTGTTTAAAAAGTAAGATGGTCGTGTTTGCTTTGTTTGTTTTGTTTTGTTTTGTTTTGTTTTTCTGGCATCCTCAAACTGCTTTCTGAAATTGTGAATTAATTTGACATTTCCCAACATTAATACTCAAAATGATATCTCAGTAGAAACTGTCAGAATTTTTCAGAATAAAATAAAAACGTTAACTTCACTTAAGCACATACTTGTAAATAGAAAAAAAAACAGAACCTGATCATTTTTCACCAGTCACAGAACTTTCTGTACATATGCAGAATTTTCACCAATTAAAACTGTTCTATAAAAATTTCAAGTTTGACCCATCTAGATTTTCTAAGGGTCACCCTAAAAGCATTAAATATCCTTTTTTTTTTTTTTTTTTTTTTTTTTTTGCATTTTCACAAATAGGCTTTCACACATTTCAAACTGTCTTTTAAAGAATCCGTGTACAACGTACAACAATCTATTTTACTCTTGGAATTAGCTTAGATTTTAAACTCAGGATCTTCAAATACTTTGAAGAACTGTGAAATAGTTCTTTAGTTTTCCGGAGAAAAGGAATCAGACACATTTTCTTACACGAGTCGCACTGCACTCAACACAAACGAATGCCCTCTCTCCCATTAACATGGCATACGTCCAAAGGTGATAGAAGCATCTGAATGATAACTTTTATTTCTTTTGTCCTAATCTGGAGCCCTCACCCACAACAGAATGACACCCTGAGCAATGAGCCACATAAAAAAAATTACACAACATGTAAGTACGTAATATTATGGATTGTCAGCTTCCTAAGTGCGGATACTATTGTCTAATCGACCTTCACCACATTTGAAGCTGTTTACATTCATTAATAAAGCAATAGCGCTGATCCTTATGTATTTATAAAGCATCTTAGAGCTCACATCTGAATATTTGTTCAGCCCTCACTTTTGGCCCTTTGAAGCAGGGTCTGAACTCAAAGACATTTTTGCAGTATAGATTTCACCTTCAATGGTTTTACTGAGGACATTTTATGCAAAACTATGCGTTGCTCAGTTTATTATGAAAACAATGTGCTTACGTATGCCAGTAACAGATTATAGGCCACAAGGAGCTTTTAGTCTTTCTGTGAACTTTGAAGCAAAAGTCCCAACAATAACTGCATCACTAAAAACTATTGTTTATGCTATTGTTTTTATGACGATCTCACAACATCGATCAAAGTCTAAAACAATCATTAAAAAAAAATGCAATGGTCATTGTTTCAAAAACAAGTGCAAACGCATGAGTAAATCTGTATAGGATAAATTAGTTCTGGCATAGAAATAATATTATAATATTCTGTTCACCAGCTGAAAATAGAAGACGCTGTCTCATGCAAAGTCTTCTAAAATGTTTTGTTTTCCTGCAGTAAAAACAGCCCCAGAGATGGTAAAAAAAAAATTAAAAAAAAAAAAAACATGAGAGGGATTTTTCCAATTAAGCTGTGCTGTGCTGGCACAGTGTTCTCACCAGTGAGGTAATAAGAGTTTAGCTCCCCCCACTACCCTTCTACTTCCCCTCGCACGCACACACACACACACACACACACACCCAGACACATGGAAAGGGATTCTCTGTATATAGCACTAGGGCACATCCTGTGCCAAGGCAGCAGTCAGGGTTGGATGTGTGGATGGTGGGTGTAGATGGGAGAAGGGGAGGGTCTGTTCTTTTTTGTTTGTTTGTTTGTTTGTTATTATTTTTTAAGACTGGAAGCTTCAAAGTTACTTGCCTGTTGGAATGGCATTCGTAAAGCCCCCACGTTGACATATGGCGCTACACGACAAGCTTCAAACTGATTCGCTGCTCCAATCAGGACTCCTGTGGAAAACACAGATGATAGTTTAATTGTGAGAGGAATAGTCAGAGCAACATAGGGCACAACACAACACTGTACAGTGGACCTTAAGCTAGAGGAGAAACACCAGCGTTTTGATTCTAAAAGGTCTCATTTAGAAAGGTCTATAAATGTAAAAAAGTTGGAGATAACGGAGCTTTCCTTGGCAACCATAGCAACCAATGTATTTTTTTTTGTGAAATTGCCTTACAGAATTAAGAAAGCTTCACACGTGGCTGCAGAAGAGCAGTGAAAGGTATTCTAAAAAGTTTAATCTTTTTGTAACAGCATAATGCCTTGCAACTCATTTGACATTTTTAAAAAATGTGAAAAAGGTTTTAATTTAAAAAAAAAAAACTGCACAACACAAAGATTTGAGAAAGGCCTTAAGACTCTCAATTTATTCATATATATATATATATATATATATATATATATATATATATATATATATATATGAAAGATTAAAGTCATAGCAGGCATTGGCATGTTGAACTTAACATTTTAGTTGAATGGTTGAGATAACACAGAGTATGTGGAAGCAGCAATGCAATACCAAAAACAGAAAACAGAAACAGGATCACAATATTGTGCGTGCTTTACACCATTCACACAGTAAATGAAGAAATTTGAGAGAGCATAATTAACTCGATATTTAACAATGATGTTAGCTGTGTAATAGAATAGAATAGAATAGAATAGAATAGAATAGAATAGAATAGAATAGAATAGAATAGAATAATATAGAATAGAATAGAATGGGTTTGCTCTGATGTGTGAGAGTTACCTTTATGTAACTGGTTCTCCTGCTTCCTGCATTTGGCTCTTCTGTTCTGGAACCAAACCTGCAGGGACAGAAATTAATTAGAGACCCGCTGATTGGCAGCTGCTTGTGAGGCCATGTGTAATTCCTCTCAAAGTGACAACAACCGCAGAAAAACAATATCCCCGAGGAGCACTGAAATATTAATGCCTCTGCTTAACCCCGGATTTTAATTGTTATACATTTAGCCTCCAACAAGAAGAAGAAAAGCAAAAGAGCGGGAGGGGGCTGAGACAGAGAGAAGAGAAGATTTTTTTTTTTTTTTTTTTTTAAAGGCTAAATGTAGTAAATCTGATGTCAAATTCATTAGGAGAATAGAATGACTCCGGTTGGAAAATGAGCAGGACTTTCTCTGGTATAATAAATAACCTTGTCAGCGGTGGTTTCATCTTTCTATAGATGAGTGTCCCCGAAGAGTTGAATGGACTCTCCGATATCGAATTGCAGCAATGCTATCATGGCTTTTTTGGAGATCAGAGCAAGAGAGGGATGTGAGCGCTCATCTCCCTTCTTTCTCTGACCGCTGAAATTAATTACCCTTATCTGGAGAAAATCCATGTCGGAGGCATGCTTAAATGTCTAATCACCGCTATAACACTTAGTCCACAAAAAGCGAGAGCGCGGTGGCTCACATTTCTCTCCGAAGAAATCCAGAGAACCGCCTTGGAACGCGCATTAAACGGTTTATTACTATGATAATCCGCCTTAAATACCTCAGATAAAGCCTGGGCTAAAAGAAGGCCACAATGCAACGTGTCTGCACGCAGCCTCTGTAACACTATGCCTCGCAAACAATGAAAGCATGATTGAAATATCATATCGATCTGGCTGTCAGCCGGCTTCATTTATTGATCACAGCGCATGTCGCTCGGAAGCCTTTCTTGCGCACTAATTTATGGCTGTGATAAAAACCCAAACGCACCGAAGTTGTTGTTGTTGGTGGTGGTGGCGGCGCCCAAAATCACTATCTAAATAATATGTGATATGAAAATATATCATACTCATATGGAGATTTAAAAAAAAAAAAAAAGAAAGAAAGACAGAGAGATGGAGGCGAAAGCTGGTTTCAAATTGGGTTGAAAATAATACATAATTTATGCAAATCCCTCGAGCTGTGCTCCTTGTCCGGGACACAATGCGTCTTATTTTGGCTTGGGGAGCCCCGCAAAAAGCTGGTTTGAACTTCTTCTTCTCCCCCCCCCACCCCACTTTTTTTTTAAAGGATGTAGTAGAGGGTGAGTTTATGACAAATATCGAAAGAAAAGAAAGTATTCCTCCAAAGAACTTGTTAATGCATAGCAGTTGTGAAAATTTATATTATTGTTATAAAACAGAGTGGGGGGAAAAGTTGCCTTCGTGTTTATCCTCTCCCCCTGATCGTCTTACACAGGACATGTCTGAGAACCCCCCTCCCCTCCCCTCCACACCTTTCACATCTCCCACCACTCATACTGGGTTTCTGCACAGATGGTCTATCCCTATGAAAATCCACTGACTTAGTAACACATATCTTAAATGCAAAAAGAAAGAAAGAAAGAAAGAAAGAAAGAAAGAAAGAAAGAAAGAAAGAAAGAAAGAAAGAAAGAAAGAAAGAAAGAAAGAAAGAAAGAAAGATGAAAACCCCCCACCGTGGGCGTATTGTTTACTGTGCAATTTCGATAATAAAGATTAGATGAACAGTGGTGAAGCAAATAAGGACTAATTGAGACAAGTACTTTTAATTAAAAAAAAAATACTAAGAGAGAAAGAGAGTGCATTTTGGGGCATTATCTTCACTTCTTTATGTAATCTGTCAAAGTACTGGAGGCACTATCGGTTTTGCTGTGCGAATATTCACAAATCAAGGCCAAGCAGAGCAGTTCTGCACCTACACAGCATCATCATAATAATAATATTACTATCCAACGAAACATGTTCATATCCTGAAGCTTTATCAAGGAAATATCGAAGGATGGACAGACAAAAAAATGTTAGAATTATTCTCCTGTTGTTCATTTTGATATTGCTGATAACGTTAAAAAATGAAGATTATTATTATTATTATTATTATTATTATTATTATTATTATGCATTCATTTATTTTCCTTCTGAACCGTGCCTTACCTGCACTCGGGCCTCTGACAGTCCCAGTCTCTGGCTCAGCTCCTCCCGCATGAAGGCGTCCGGGTAGTGGGTTTCGTCGAAGAGCCGCTCCAGCTCGTTGAGCTGCTCCAACGTGAAGTTAGTCCGACTTCTCCTTTGCTTGATTTTTGTTTGCGTTTCATCCTCGATGGGCTTCGAGTCCTCTTTCCGCTCCTTCACGTCCGTGGTGCCTGCGAGAATAGCAGGAGGGGAATGAGGAAGGGGGGTACCGCGATCAGCATCGTGCACGACAGAGCCTCCCCAGTGGGTAGTTTCGTTTCTTTTTCTTTTTTTATTATTAAAAACTGAAGTCAAAATAAAACGATTTACTGCACCGGATGGCACAGAGTTTGCCTCGAATCTGAGCTCGTTTTTTAATTAAAAATAAAAAAAAATAAAAATGACATCCTCCTTCATGGAGGGAAAACAAAGCTCGTAGAACGCAGCGTGTGTAAAAATGTCAACACAAAACAGGATTGCGTAAAAAAATAAAAATAAAAATAAAAACAAAAACGAGTGAGAGAGCAAAGGGAAGAAAAGGCTTGCCCTCTGATATCACACAGCTATCAGACCTCGGATGTTTTGTCGGGCTACATAAAGCTCTTTAATTATTAACCGCTTATAAATATGCAGCGCCGTGCCTACTGTTGGGTGTCTGATACATGCTTGTCGCGGTTCCGCTTTTAACCACGCTGCCCATGACGAACAGATGTCACTTTTACAAGCCTCCCAACTCTAAGATATCTTGTCCAGCATGTTGTCACAGAACACGGGAGAGGAAATAGCCTGCACGTAAACGCCACATGCAATATGGAGCAAAGCTATTGAGAATATATGTTTGGATAAACAAAACATTTGCTTTTCACAGCATGACTTCATTTAGTTTAGAATATGTACGTATTTGTTTTTATTTATTTTTATTTCATTCTTATTATTTTTCCTTTTTTTGCATGTACTATTTAACAGTTTTACTTTAATGTATGAGGAACCATGACAAAAAAATATTTCTTCCATCTGCAGTTGCAAGGCTGTTTTCAGATATTTATGATGTGATTTATCTCGAAAATCTATATTTGTGACGTTTTTTTTTTTTTTTTTAACTGAGACGCGGTTTACTTTGCATAGGCCAAAATGCGCTTTAATGAAACAGACATAATGAACGATTCTTGAGGAAACTCACACTCGGTAGCTTTTATCTTGTCGTCTGAAATGAAGAAGGCCAGAAGATATCGTTTTTGAAAATAAACATCAGTTTGCCTGTGATATTTTCACGCGAGTCAATTGAGTCCTTTCATATATATATTTTTTTAGATCTGCCTCGATCATCAGCAGAATCCCTTTTGTCTTTAGAAAAGTGCAACGAAACAGCATGACTTTTACATGCAGCCACGCTTTTCTCCTGTTTTGTGAAGCGGTGTGATTTGAAACTTGTCCAAATGAACTTCAGCGAACCTCTTAAAAATCTGAAAAAGATTGACATGCGTAACAAAAATAGACTAGTTTAGGAGTAGTTGTTGCCATCGGATAAGTCAAAAATGAGTGACATGTCAACAAATAACTTAAAGTAAAACTACTTTCGTCTTTTTCATATAGCAACATTTGTTGTTATTCATTTAAAATGTTTTAACTTATTTTTTTGCCCGGCCTTTTTTTTGATTCCCCTCTCTTCGTAAAGCGGACACAGCGCGCAGAGCCCTTACCGTCAATGAGTTTGGGACTCCCCGCGTCCCTGATCCTCTCCGGCCCGAGCATGTCCGTCTCCCTGCCCGGCGAGAGAGCCACGTTCCGGGCGACCGCGGCCGCCTCCTCTCGGCTCCCGGGCTCCGCGGATAAAGACTCCCGGCTCCCTGCTCGCGCCGCCCCGGTCTCCAACACCTCCCTGTAGGTTATCACTTCCTTCTTCTCCTTCACTTTCTGATCGAAGGACTTGGATACGAAAGCGGTGAGCTCTTCCATCACTGCTTCCTCTCCTCTTGGAAAAAACACCATACACTCACTCCCTCTCTCACACACACTCTCCCCCTTCGCTGCTTAAGACATCAATGGTGTGGCTCGTTGAAAATGATACGAGATGATGCAAGCCAAACTGTGGATGAAGGTGGAAAAAAAATATATATATATATATATATATATATATCTTCTCAGCCAATTCCTCCTCCTTTGGTATAGCGGAGTTAGGGAACCTGCTGGTGATCCTCTATTGAAGTCACAGTATTTATACTTTACGGCGCCTTGCCCCCTTGATCCGTGCAAATTACCTCCCCTCAGGATGCCGGGATGAGCCCCCCCTTCCTTTTCAATGATATGGGAGGGAAAAAAAACGAGAGGGAGAGAGAGAGGAGTAAAAACATTAAGCAGCACCGCCGCTATTGGCCATTAATCCAAGATTGACAAGAAGGACTAATTAATTTAATTACGCGCTCATTCGCCGCTATTGTCCTGAGTTAGTTTTTTAAACACCCGGGAGATGGTCATGGATCTCTCTCTCTCTCTCTCTCTCTCTCTCTCTCTCTCTCTCTCTCTGCAGGGGTGTGGCTTAAAAAAAATCCGAAAAATGACAAGCAGTGAGGGAAGCGCACGGATGAGATGAGGAGTCCTTCCTCACTGTATATCTCTGTGATCTGCGGGCGAGAGGAAAAATAAGACGCACAAGGATGACACGGAGTGGAGAGAGGTGAGAGCGGAACAGCAGCGGAGCGACGTGCGCTCCGAGCTCCAGATCAAGTGAACACATCCTGGGGTCCCCAAAACTTTGGCCCGAGGCCTTGCCATTGTTTCGCCTTTAGATTAATAAATGTGACGCTGAAATTATTATTATTATTATTATTATTATTATTATTATTATTATTATTATTATTATTGAAAAAAGCATTACGTGCGTTTCTCACCAGTGATTATGCGTTGCACACTGTCATTATTAACCAGACTATATCGCTTAATATTAATCCTCACTGGGCCATTTTAAGCCATTAGGATGTTAAACAGCAAATAAACGCTTAATTATAGCCCAGTGCCTTCTTATACGATATGTTGCCATTGGGCTCGCTAATTAAAGTTTCTATCCCCCTGCTTTTTTTTTTTTTTTACCCCTCCCTCCTCTTCCTGCTGAAATAAAT